GAAATATACTTAAAAAACTCTAAGTGTTAATTGTGTTAGAATGTTTTCGTCTGTATTATTTTATTCATCATCATTTATAATAAGAAAAAACTACAAATTTCACAATAAAATCAATTAACTTCGTTATATTTTATTAATATTTTTAAAATACTGTTCTTGTGAAATAAAAATTAATATAATATTTAATTAAATGTTAAATATTAGAGTTTAAGATATTAAATAAAGTAAAAATAGTCAAAATTTATTAGTTTTAAAAAAAATGTGTTTTTTTTATTATGAACGATTAATTTTAATTATAAGGTATAATTTAAATATAAAAATAGTCTTTATATAAGTTATTTTACAATTTTAATAAAATTTATTTTTTTCTTTATTAAAGACATGACAATTTGTATTGTTATTAATTAATTTAATAAAATGAAATATTAAATAATAAAAATTGTTTATTGAATGAATGAAATAATCTATAATAAATAATAAAGGCCTAGGAAGTAGTATTTGGTAGAGATATATGAAGCACGTGGTGTGTTTGGTTTGTGGAATGATCAGTTTTTCTTTTATTATTATTTTTTATAATTTTATCTTGTTATAAGTTTTAATATTAATTTGATCTTACTTTTCATAAATGAATTTTTTATAATTCTTTCGTTGATACAATTAAATTATTTAATTAAGAAATATAATATGACACGTGTCAACATCACCTTAGTTCTATTTCGTTAGTATCACATAATCAAATGACCGGATTAAATATTTTATGTTAAACAATTTAATAGTGTTGTGTAATAAATTATATGTATTCATTGTATAAAAGTAAGATAAAGTTGAGTTAATAAATCGAAATTGATAAAAAAAATTATATATAGTGAAAAAATAAATAAACTAACCTTTCTGATAAGTAGATTTTATTTTGAGTGTATTTTTATATTACTCATTAATTTTTATATCTCCATTGCTTTTTGGAAAGCGAAATCAATAATTGAAGATAATGTTTGTTTGTTTGTTTCCTTTATAAAACAAATCATTGTGTTTCTTCAACAACCACTTGTTTATCGCGTTCCCCCACTACCCTGCTTCTAAAACCATTCCAAACATTCTTACTATTAATAATAATAATAATAATAATAATAATAATAATAATAATAATAATAATAATAATAATAATAATAATAATAATAATAATAATAATAATAATTTTTATTTATTTATCAGAATAAATAATAATTTTGATAACGAGTATTCTAAAAACACACATGTTAATGAATTAATAATTAAATGTTTACGATAAAGAAACTCTAAAAGATAATCCTTAAAATTAATTAATAAATATTGAATCTTTAATCTGAATTATGAGACACCAATTAGCATGTTTGATAAAATAAAAATATTAATAAGTAAATAATAAAAAATTTCATATTTATCAAGTTACGTGTTCATGTTCTTATTATCTGTCTTGTTGACCTTGGTAAGTGTTTTTTTAATTTTCAACCTTTCTAAGTACCATAAAACTAATTCAAACACACTATACTAAATTTCTTAATCATGCACAACTAGACTACTTTAGCTTGTAGTGAACCCACTTGAAGATGTTGATCATAAAATTGGTTCCACTCTTTCTCAGAAGGTGCATACAAAAATTATAAAAATCTTTCTTTTTATCACGTTCAGCACTGCATTTCTGTTTCTATCTTGGATTGGAATAAAATAAAAGTGTTAAATATTTTGGTGGGGACTAACAATAAAATAATTCTCACTCAAATATATAAGAGAATAATTATTATTTTTAACAAAAAAATCTTAAAAGATTAAGTTATAAGTATTTATCCTAATTCCCTTTCACATTAATATATATCCTTCCTTGAGCATAAATTTTTTTAGTTATAAGTACTCTTAATAACCTTACTTGTATCCTCATTTAACTTAACGGGACTCGTTTGCTTGAAATCGTTGTCAAGAAAATTTTTAACACACAAATTTTCCACCTACTATACTCAACTGAGCCGGTCACCGGACAAACATCGACTCTGATACCACTGTTAGGTATTTTCGAGGGGGCTAACAGTAGGAAGATTCTCACAAATGGGTCATGAGTCCATCATATAAGAGAATATAACATCACTTTCAACTCAAAATCTTGAAACATTAGGTTATGAATCTTTCTCACTTATAAGTTATCTATCTTTCTCATTTCTAACTAATATAGGATTTCAAACTCATTATTAAATTTCCCAAAATAACCATAAGTTTCTCATTTCTACCTAGTTTCTCATTTCTACCTAATATATGATTTCAAACTCATATAGCATCATTTTTACAATAATTTTAAAATATGTATTATCATATCATATATGTATATAATGAAGATTTCCAAAACAATTATAATCATCATATGGTATTTTTTAAATTATTGTCATATGAAAATGATAATAATTATTTTAAAAAATAAATAATAATAATTATTTTTGTATCATGATATAGTTATTCTGTTATAATGCATATTTTTTTTTATATTTTTTTCTCGCGTAGTGTCTTTTTTTTCGTCTCTCTATATATTTTATTGTCTGTTATTTCATTTTCTCTTTGAATTAATGTTAGAACATTATTTGGTACACTATTAAAACTCTCATCAAGATAATCGTTGATAGCGTCATTAATACTTAATGTTCTAAATCTACGAAATTTTGTTTAACCTTGTGAAAATAATATTTAACCTTTATTAAAATTCTCTTTTAAGGAGTACACATTTATATTTCATGAGCCAATTGGTGAATCAATATAAAAAATAACGAGATGAATTTGTGGTGAATCAACATAAAAATTAACGAGATAAATTTGTAATTTTAATAGGTGTGTTTTGGTGAATCAATAAAAAATAACAAGATAAATTTATAATTTTAATACTTGTGTTTTGGTCCGTAAATCCGATAAGTTAAGAATATAATAAGACTGACGACTTTAAATAACTATTTATGTATTAAAATTAAAATGAAAAAATTATATTTTTTATATTATTAAAATATGTAAATATATTATAATATTATAATTTAAATTATAAATATTAATTAGTTAAGTTTAAGTTATTAATGATATAATTATTTTAACACATAAATATAATAATTTTTTAATTTATCTAATAAATATATTATAATTAATAAATAAAAAATATAAATTTATTTATATAATTTATATTTATATATATCATCTTATCATCCCAATTTTTTTTAGCAATCAAAATCGAACAAATAATTAATTTTTATACGATTGAAAGTCACCTATAAAATTTGAAATAGAAAACAACACAATTATTAAACATATATTATATTGGTACATTATATTAGAGGACAATTGTGAACACAATAAAACAAATATTTTATTTGTAGACCATGACCATGACCGTAGAAGATTAATAATATAAATATAATAGTAATTTTGAACACTATTAAAAGGATCCACTCATAATGTGTCTTAACAACTTACTAGTTTTCATTAGATCATATTTCTTTAATAGAAGAAATCCATGATACGAAACATCATCATCAATTTCATAAGGATTTTGTAGACTATATTTGAAAATATTTTGGATTCAATAAAAAAAAATTATGTTTTGGATGTATTCTTTTTTTTTCAATCTTTTTATTGCGAGAAAAATATGTAATAATAATATAAAAATTTCTTAATTAATTAAATAATTTATAAATAAGATATTAATAAAATATAGATGTATACTATAACAATGGAATTATTTTTCTTTCTATGCAATGGAATTATTTTGTTAATGATATGATGATTGATGAACTAAATATTAATAATCTCCACGCTTTTTAATCTTTCTCTAACTCAATGACATTTTAAAATGTTAATTACTCATTCACATGCAAACAATTCATTAATCCGTATGTAATATTTAAAATTTAGTGTTTATATACTATTTTGGGATAATTAAAAAATCTTATTTAAATGAATTTATAACTACATTCATTAATCTTATTTTGGTGTAATATAAATATATAAGGCATTATTAAAAATAATTAACATTTTAAAATGATAAATATTTAAAAAATTAAAATATTCAAATAGATGTATAATATAAGACAAAAGAATAAAATGTATTTTTCTTAGACTTATTTGGACACAATTTACAGTGGTGTTTTTATTTCTGTTTAGTACTAAAATCTTATTCTATCATTGATTTATTTAAATCTTTTGTTTCAAAAAATGTTGTTTGTTTCTTTACTTTGAAAATAGAAATTCTCTTACGAGTTACTTCATCCAAAATTTCTTCCAGATATTAACCGAATTCTAATATTTCAACATCTATGTTTCGTTCCAGTGGAGCATTGTTGTATAATTAATGTTGGATAGTGCGAGTTGAAGAAAGTTTTTTCGAAGAGAAAGTTGAATAAGAACAAATTATTGCTTATAAAAAAGAAGAGTTGGTTGTTGGTTTCATTCCTGTTTAGCAGAGACGTGGAACACGAACACGGAGCATCGAAGCAGGTTCGTTCGTTGACGGCGGAGACTTAGTATCATGCTATATTTTCAAGTCAATCACCAAATTTCACAGAAACATTTCAAGTCAATCATGAAATTTCAGAGACACGTACTGTTCCTTGTAGGACTAGGTAGAGTGGGAAGTGATAACGATAGGATCCACATGACACACAAAAATTCAGGCTTTATTTTAAGGCAACAAATATTAAAATTTCTACTCAATTATTTGTACCTACTTTTTCAAAAGCGACAGTAATCGAATCAATGGTCATTTTTCTTTTATTTAACCACCGCACTTTTATCGCGTTCCCTCCCAGAACCTGCTATGCAACCATGGAGAACAAAACCCTCCAAACATTGTAGGGTGAAATTTACGAGTTCATGGAGGTGTCATATATTACCTTTCTGCCATTCCAGTTCTTTCCACATAAATAGCCCTCTCACTCTTACAAACTTCCATCACAGACACAACCATCTCTAAACTCTCCCTAACAAACCCTTCTCCAATCATGGCACTACAATTCACATCTCTCAATACAGCCATATGCGCTGCAGCTTTTCTTGTGCTCCTCCTCTTCCTCCGCCGTCTCCGCCGCCGCCGATATAACCTGCCCCCAGGCCCAAAGCCCTGGCCCGTTATAGGCAATCTCAATCTAATTGGCACCCTCCCACACCGGTCAATCCACGCGCTTTCTGAAAAATACGGGCCCATCATGCATGTATGGTTCGGCTCAAATCCGGTGGTGGTGGGCTCATCTGTGGACATGGCAAAGGCCTTTCTCAAAACCCACGACGCAACCCTCGCTGGCCGGCCCAAGTTCTCAGCCGGCAAATACACAGCCTACAACTACTCCGACATAACCTGGTCCCAGTACGGCCCGTACTGGCGCCAGGCCCGTAGAATGTGCTTAATGGAATTGTTCAACGCAAGACGTCTCGAAGAATACGAATACATTAGAAAACAGGAGTTACATGCTCTTCTCAATGAACTCTTCAATTCCCAAAACAAAACAATTTTATTAAAAGACCACCTTACGAATTTGAGCCTCAACGTTATAAGTCGCATGGTGTTGGGGAAGAAGTACCTGGAAGAGTGCGAAAACGCCATCGTTTCGCCTGAGGAGTTTAAAAAGATGCTTGACGAGTTGTTCTTGCTTAATGGAGTGTTGAACATCGGAGACTTCATACCTTGGATTCATTTCTTGGATTTGCAGGGTTACGTAAAGAGGATGAAGGTTTTGAGCAAGAAGTTTGATGGGTTTATGGAGCACGTGTTGGACGAACATATTGAGAGGAAGAAAGGTGTCGAGGATTATGTCGCAAAGGACATGGTTGACGTTCTGCTGCAACTTGCTGAAGATCCTACACTTGAAGTCAAGCTTGAGAGACACGGAGTCAAGGCTTTTACACAGGTACTCCTACTTAATCATTACTACCTGCCATCACCAATCGTTTTAATTTCTTGTTTACTGTTTAACATGAACAGTGTGCATTACTTTGCTAATCATTTGATATGTTCCCTAAATATTAACAAGCTCCTCGTTTTAATAGAGTTGTGTCTCTTCTGCAACTCTTGTTTACTTGGTTACAAGATATCTTCTCTTTTGTGGGGCTAATGTATATTATTTCTCATTCTAATATAAGAACCATTTCTATTTCTTCTACTTCAACTAAATATAAGTAATTTTATCTGGGTCCTTATTTATTACATACATTATTTTTGGGTTCTATGACTTCCCATTTGATGACTGCATATTAAAGAAAACAATAATAATAATAATATAACTTCCATTATGTATTATTTGTCTCTTAGAATAAAATATTTTAAGCTGTTAGAAACATTTTGTGACCTACTAGCTTGTGTCTATGAATCAGGATCTAATAGCAGGTGGGACTGAGAGTTCTGCTGTGACAGTAGAATGGGCAATCTCTGAGCTGTTGAGAAGACCAGAGATTTTCAAGAAGGCAACAGAGGAGCTAGACAGGGTAATAGGAAGAGAAAGATGGGTTGAAGAGAAGGACATTGTGAATTTACCTTATGTTAATGCCATTGCCAAGGAAGCAATGAGGTTGCACCCTGTGGCACCAATGTTGGTGCCAAGAATGGCCAGAGAGGATTGCCATATTGGAGGGTATGACATTCCCAAAGGGACTCAAGTGCTTGTGAATGTATGGACTATTGGAAGAGACCCCGCAATTTGGGACAACCCAAATGAATTCCAACCTGAGAGGTTTCTAGGTAAGGAGATTGATGTGAAAGGGCATGACTATGAGTTGTTGCCATTTGGTGCTGGGAGAAGGATGTGCCCTGGGTACCCTCTTGGCCTTAAGGTGATTCAAACAAGTTTGGCCAACCTCTTGCATGGATTTAACTGGAGACTCCCTGAGAATGTGAAGAAAGAGGACTTGAACATGGATGAGATTTTTGGGTTGTCTACGCCTAAGAAAATCCCTCTGGAAACAGTTGTTCAGCCTAGGCTTCCACATCATCTTTATTCTCTCTGAGCAATGCATCTGACTAAAGATTTTCCCTCTAATAAGATCATAGGAATAAAGGGTGTTGTGTGTCTTACCCTAATGTTGTCATAGTGGAAGACAAAAACAAATCTCTTTTCATAACAACGTGAAAGAAAAGTGGTACAATGAGTGTGTTAGCACTTATATGTAACTGAAAGCATCTAACCCTTTTCTCTCTCAGTCAAATAGACTTTCTCTCAGTCAAGATATATATAATTTTGAAAATAGTAATTTCTTATATATGTAGAATGTATACTGCATGCATATAAAATTAGCATCTAATCATTAAATTAGAAAATTAAAATACCAGTAAAAATGTATTGGTGTGAGTCAGGAAAAAGTAAAATAGTGAAAAAAAAATTCACCTTCTTCATTAAGCTAATAAAATCCTTTAAAAATAACTACAGAATAAGATCATATTGTACGCATTTTACATTGATCATAATATATTTGTTTTGTTTTTGGTTAAATTCCAAAGAAAAATCATAACATATTGGTTTACCGACATATTTAATTAACACCAAGAAGAGTATTAATTTTGAGTTGAATAAAATCATGTATAAACCTCTGTAATGCTACAATATTATTAACAGCTATAAATCATCTCATCAATTAAATCAAAGTTAAAATTTCATTATATACTTCAATTTTATTATGGTTATTGTTGAAAATTTCAAGGGTTTTGTGTATATGTATTTCTAATATATTACGTGGATATATTTCTATTCATGTACTCTATGTATATATAGAGTAAAAATATTAAAAAATATCAAATATCAATAATATTTCAATCATAGACTGTCTAAATTAAAATAATAATCTAGTGTATTTTTACATTCTCTCTTAAAAGATAATAAAATCATTTAATACCTAATTTAAATAAAAGATAATAAAGTAATATTCCTAACATTCCTCCTTACTTTAATATCTATTTATTTGAATTTGATAATTTTTCTTTTTGCTTATAATTTTTCCTCCTTTTTTGTTTATACTTCTTGTCATCTTCTTTCTTGTATAAGATCACATCTTCATTCAACTTCACTTTCTTCATCAACATATTTCTTCCTTTATCAACTTCATCTCTTTGTTTCTTTCAAACTTCATGGTATTACTATTAACTCTTTGATGGACGTTGAAAATGGTTTCTTCATCTACATCTTTATTTTCCTCTTTAACATTAAGTTCCTTCAAGAAATCTTCTTCATGTTTTTTCTTTGACTTTTCTTTTATATTTTCGTTTGTAATCATCTCTTCTTTCATCAAATCTAAAGTGAAACTTTTTCCTTTCATGTGAATTTTGAATATTTCCAAGTTATTTGCATCTTTAATCACACAAAGTTTGTGTTCAAAAGACATCTTATAACTTTTTTCCAATAATTGAGCAACACTTAACAAATTATGATTTATATCAGGAACATATAAAACATCAAAAAATCAATTTGATACCCGAATGACTTTTAATTGTAATTGTTCTCGTACCTTTCACATACACTTCTTCTCCATTACCAATTCTCACTTTAGAAATATGTGATTCGTTGAGCTCTCTGAAAAGTTTTCAATCATGAGTCATGTATAAGTCAACCTGTGGATTTGTTGATTGTGGAGCATGTTGATGCAAGGAGAAGTACCTCTTCTACTCTATCCTTTATAACTTGAACGACTTCCTCTGGTTGTGATTTGCATATCTTTTCTGTATGTCTCAATTAACCACATTTGTGATATTTCACATCAGGTCTACACCAACACTTGTTGGGTATGTGATTATTTTTCTTGCAATAAGGACAAACAGAAAAGACTTATGATTTTGTATCTTTGTTGTTCTTGATTTGGACAGAACCTTCATCATGATATAGTAAAGAACTGATAAAAATTTTTCCGAAAACCCCTGTCTTGTATTGAATATGATAGCACAATATATACATGAAATACAAAAACATTCTAGGCTATAATTACTCTAACCATTATAGTCGGTATCCTAAATTTGTCTATTAACAGATATGACATTAATGTGCATCACTGTGCATCGCTGTCATGCCAAGCTAAATATGGAAAAAATTAATCATGTAGAATCATGGCATGATACGGTATTTGTAATCGTATATTCTATGTTTATCACCCTCCCTCAAGATGGAGTATGAAGGTTATGAATGCCCAACTTGCCTAAAAAAGAACCAAATTTAGTGGCGCCAAGAGATTTGGTGAAGAGATCAGCCAGTTGATGATGAGTGGACACATAGGAGGGTTGGATATGATTGTGTTGTATTTCATCACGAATAAGATGACAATCCACTTCAATATGTTTTGTCCGTTCATGAAACACAGGATTCTTGGCAATGTGAAGGGCGGCTTGGTTGTCACGGTAGAGAGTCATAGGATCGGTGTGAGTAATGCCTAGGCTCGAAAGAAGGCCTTGAAGCCATTTCAACTCACATGTCGTGTTGGCCATAGAACGATATTACGCCTCGGCGGATGATCGAGAAACCGTATGTTGCTTCTTGGTTTTCCAGGAAACGGGGGATTGACCAAGGAAAATAAACCAACCGGTGAGAGATCTTCGAGTGAGAGGACAACTTGCCCAGAGCCGAGTCACACCAACCATAAAGACGAAGGTCACTCTCTCTTTTAAAAGCACACCCTGACCCGGGCTGCCCTTTAAATAGCGTACCATGCGGAGTGCAGCCCGCCGATGCTCTGACGCGGTTGGTGCATGAATTGAGATAGGACATGAACAACTGTAAGATAATTCGAGTCGTGTAAAACACAAGTAAATAAGGCGACCGAGCGAGACATCGATATTGACTCGGGTCGAGAAAGTAGTTCGCCATCGGCCAATGCTAAACGATGATTTTCTTCGATTGGCGTGGACACGAGTTTCCCTCCAAGCAATCCTGCTTCGCTATGATGTCCAACGCATACTTCAGTTGACACAAGAAAATTCCTGTAGGAGATCGGCAACCTCCACCCCAAGAAAGTATTTTAATTTTCCTAAGTCCTTCATACGAAAACATTGATGAAGATAATCTTTGAATTGCGCAATGTCTTCATGATGATTGCCAGCAATGACTAGGTCATCCACGTAAACTAACACAACCAGTTCGACATCTCCTTTGCGAAAGATGAACAAGGAGTGATCGGACGAAGAACGTTGAAACCCATATTGAACAAGAGCGGTTGAGAGCTTGGCAAACCAACACGAGGAGCTTGACGAAGACCATAAAGGGACTTGCGGAGACGACACACCATACCCTTTTGAGACACCAAGAACCACTGGCGGCATTTTCATGTACACATCTTCCTCAAGATCGCCGTGCGAGAAAAGCATTATGGACATCCATTTGATGGAGTTCCCGAGTCTTTGGCTACTGCCACTTGCCAACACTTGTCAGAATGGTGACCATCTTTGCCCTCGGGGCAAAGGTCTCGTCATAGTCAATCCCCTCAACTTGGTGATTTCCCAAGACAACTAATCGGGCTTTGAAGCGTTCAACGCTCCCATCAGAATGATATTTGATTTTATAAATCCACTTGCAACCCGGAGGCTTCTTCCTCTTAGGTAGAGGAGTAATGTCCCATGTTTCATTACTTTGGAGGGCCTGAATTTCACTAGCCATGGCATCTCTCCATCTAACATCCCGAACAACTTCAAAGAAATGCACAGGTTCTCTCTCGCATGAAGGGCTGCAAGAAAGGTTCGGTGGGGGAAGGAGAATTTAACACAATTTAAGTACTTTGTCAAAGCGTAAGGCATACCTGAGGAAGCTGAATGTGGAGTGCGAATTGAGGGACCAGAGTTGTAAAGTGGTGTTAGTGACATAATCACGAAGCTTCACGAGATGGCTTTCGTACACGAAGACCTTTCCCCGGGGATGCGGGGACAGTATGCTCCTCGGGAACCTCTAGTTCTGTCATCATAGAGTCGGTTTGTTACGGTGGGAGAACGATCCGGGTGGGAGGCTCTTGTTCATGGCATTCAGCGTGGCCCTCCCTGAACTCGGTTGTGGGCACATCTTCTGTTGTGGGGTTAACGTCATCGGTCTCCACAACGTGTTCCGCATTGTTCATTGCACCAAGTCCAGGCAATGCTTCCTCGACAATGCCAACATCAACGAGTAGGCAATCCTACCTCTGAATGTCTACTGTGGGCAAGAGAGGCAAACGGGAATTCATGTTCTACAAACTTAACATCTCTCGAAGTCCAGAAGACTTCTCTTTCCAGATCAAACAATTTCCAGCCCTTTTTTTCGATTGAATATCCAACAAATACATTCTTGCGACTTCTACTTGCAAATTTGTCACCTTTCCTATCTTGGTTATGTGCATAACACAAGCATCCAAATACCCAGTAGATGGTCATAAGTGGGTGGCTTCCCATTCAATATTTCATATGGAGTTTTTCCATGGAGAACGGTTGAGGGTGTACGATTGATCAAGTATCCTGCGGTCAAAATGCATTCTCCCAGAATTGAAGTGGAAGTTCTCCACGAAATCGTGAAGCACGAGCTACATTTAGGATGTGTCGATGTTTTCGTTCGGCTCTCCCATTTTGTTGAGGTGTTCCGAGTGCATGAGGTTTGATGGAGTATCCCATGTTGCTTGAAAATATCGTTGAAGACACATAAACTCGGTTCCCTTGTCACTTCGTAATATTTTGACTTGTTTCTCGTATTGTCGTTCTATCAAGGCGATGAAATGCATTAAGGTTTGTGACACATCTTTCTTATTATTCAAGAGATATATCCACACAGCTCGAGAACAGTCATCAACCAAAGTGAGAAAGTAAGATGCACCACAAGACGAGGGAGTTCTATATGGACCCCATAAATCACAATGTATTAAATCAAATATATTGGATGCTTGAAAATCACTTAAAGGAAATGTGTTTACTGCATTGCTTTGATCTCTCACACACTTCACACACACGAGTTGTATCCGTATTTCTATTCACAGCTGTTCGGATGCGGAATTTTTCTAACAATCTGGTAGGCGGGATGTCCCATTCGCTTGTGCCAAATCTCCAGTTGATTTTCTGCATTGGTTCGATACGCCTTTATGCCACTCACACCACGATACCAATAGAGTCCCTCTTTTCGTTCACCCGCTCCAATCGGCATCCTCGAAGTGTGGTCCTGCATTGCACAAAATCTATCAGTAAAATGTACTGTACATTTTACTTCATTCGTCAATTGTGATACTGAAATCAAATTGCAATTCAATTTCGGAACATATAGAACATGTTTAAGTTTCAGTCCTCCATCAAGGAAAATCGATCCTTCTTTGTTTGCCGGCACCAATTCACCATTTGGTAGTCCCACTGGGCACCCTTCCAAGGCTCGACTCTCCCTCAAGTTTTCTAGTGTCCCTGTCATATGATTAGAGGCGCCACTATCAATAATCCACAAGTCACATGCTTTCTTACCGAGTCATCTTTTCAGATTCATTTGCCTTGCGAGAATTCAACATTGCTGTCAAGATCCGCCATTGCTCATTACTCGATCCTGCGACTTCCGGTTTTTGGTTGAACCAACGTTATCCGCACCGATGTGCGCCATATTGACGCGAGCCGTTCCTCCTTTTCCTCGGAAGGTTCCTGTTCTTTGTTGATTTTTTTCATCGTTTCTATCGGTTCGTGGTCTCTCTCCCCACCATTCTGGGTAACCAATGATCTTGAAGCAATTGTCTTTGTCATGTCCCTTCCTTCCACACTGCATGCAAACAACTGATTTTTCTTTCGCTTCATTGCGCAACTTGTTCCTGGTTTTCGCTCGCATAGCCATTCCCACGATCATTCCTCACTCTTCTTTAGACCTGGTGATTGTTCTCACCCTTTCTTCTTGCACCATGGTGCCATACACCCGATTCAACGAGGGTAATGGATCTGTTGCCAAAACATTTGACCGTGCAGTTCCATAGCCCTCATCATCTAGCCCCATCAAGAACTGATGAATTTTTTCTTCTTCTCTTCGTTTCTCAAGTTGCGTCATAATATTACACTTGCATCCCCCACATCTACACTGTGGGATTTGCTCGTAATTTGCCAGTTCATCCCACAACGTTTTCAACTTCCCATAATAGGAAACCATATTCATTCCTTGTTGTTTGCATTCTGCCAACTCTGACTTTAGCTGCTGGATTCTTGGTCCGTTCACGATCGAGAATCGTTCCTTGATGTCATCCCATAGGTCCTTTGCGTTTTCCATGTATGCAACAGTGGAACGCAAACTAGGTTCTATAGTGTTTAGTATCCAAGATACAAGCATCGATTGAATTGTCCACCAATCTTCTATCTCAGATGTGTCTTCTTCAGGTTCCTTATGAGTTCCATCTATGAAACCCCATTTCCTTCGAGCCCGCAAAGATATCTTCACGGCCCTTGCCCATTCCTCGTAATTCTCTCCTCGTAATTGTACCTGTGTAATCACATTTCCAGGATTATCACTGGCACTTAGATCGTATGGCGATGGTGTTTTCTTCACCGCCTCTCCTCTCTCTGCCATTTTAGAAGTACGACTGTGTTCTCGGGCTGTTGGATATCAGAGTTTGGTTCGTTCTGATACCATGATAAAAATATTTCCGAAAACCCCTGTCTTGTATTGAATATGATAGCACAATATATACATGAAATACAGAAACATTCTAGGCTATAATTACTCTAACCATTATAGTCGGTATCCTAAATTTGTCTATTAACAGATATGACATTAATGTGCATCACTGTGCATCGCTGTCATGCCAAGCTAAATATGGAAAAAATTAATCATGTAGAATCATGGCATGATACGGTATTTGTAATCATATATTCTATGTTTATCAAGAACCTTCACCAGCAGCATGATCTTATCTCATCAATCTTCGTTGCTCTTGTGCTTGTAAAACATGTAGTACTCGAATTTTCTCATCCCTTCATATTGATCTTTCAAATAATCTCAAATTTCTTTGGGTGACTTTAGCATCATGATTCTGGTGAGGATCATTTGTGAAACATCAGCAAACAGACATGATTTAGTTTTTGCCTTCCTCATTTTTCTTTCTCTGTGAAATTTTATTTCAGCTATGGTGAGATTTTCAGACAGTGGATCAACAATATAATCTTCTTCTACAACTTCTTATACATTCAATCCATAAGATAAGATTGCATTCTCACAGCCCATAAGTCATAACTTTCGCCATAAAAAACACTTGAATAACAACTAGTGAAAAAAAAATTTCTCCTTCCATTGTGTCGAACCAAAACTCAGATACCAATTTGTTGAGAATTTTAAGGGTTTTGTGTATATATATTTCTGATATATCATGTGAGTATATTTCTATTCATGTACTCTACGTATATATAGAATAAAAATATTACAAAATATCAAACATCAATAATATCTCAATCATAACTACCTGAATCAAAAGATAATAAAATCTCTTACTACTTAATTTAAATAAAAAATAATATTCCAAATTATCAAGTAATATTCCCAATTATCTGTCATTGATTTTATGACGACTAACTTCAAATCCCCTTTATTCTCTTCATGACACCTCGTGTTAGAACCAAATTCATGTCCAAAAATTATTGATTTGATGACGAAGATATTCAGTGCTCAGTAGCAATAAACAAAACAGTTTAAAATGTCAGAACTCAATGTGCTTCTATTACTGCATTTCGCAGAAGCACATGCATAGACATAAATAGATGTCCTTTCCACAATTTGTACTTCATTGAGTTCCTTTATCACACTGGCATAGAGATATGTGATAATGACTGTGAAGTTTAACCATTTTACTGCATTTAAATTTTTACAACTCTAAACCTTTCCATCCTAAGTATCTACCAAAGAGAGTAATTAAATTTATGTTTATATAAGATAATAATTTTAGATAGTTAAACATTGATTCATTAAATTTTAGGAAGAGTTTTTTCAACTATTAGTTTAAGAATTGTGAAATTTTTTCATATATTAAATTTTTTCACATTCATGATTATAATACTACAAAACAAAATTAGTACTTATCTTTTAAAATCATTAACGTGTTTAAAAAATTAACAAGTTTTCGCCACATATAAACACTAAACGGAAATCAAAGAATAAAAATTATATATTTTTTTATGGAAGGGTTTAATTAACTGGTATTTTTTCATCTTTTTATTATGGAAACAAAAAATTAGCAATTTTCATTTTATCAGACATCTAAACATATTGATAAGTGGACACAATTTAAAAAAAAATACTATTATCACATAATAAATAAGTTTCCATACTCATGTTAAATTATTATATATTGAGATACAATTTTTTTATGTTGAAACCACTTTAACAAATAAATTTTACACTTTAAATTTAATTTGACTGATAAAAAACCACAATTAAAACTAAAGAAAAAAACAATGATTTTAAGAATGGGAAGTAAACAATTAAGGATTATTTTTTCAATTCTAATAATATCAAGCAGTGCACTAAACTATTTTTTTCTAGTAGTTTAGATTTAAATCGGATTATAATTTTTTTTTAAATAGTTGAAGTTTTTTTACTTTAGTTGAATTAACTATTTTAAGTTTTTTTTTTGTACACCTCTAATTATTAATACCCAGCTCTAATGATGAGTCTTGCTTGTACATAAGATTCAAATTAGCAAGGCCATACTATTCGCACACCCCTTTTTGTTATTTGCACCGTTAGTCTATTTCTTTTACATTTTTTGACAAAAAATTATTCTTTTCTAGAAACTAATTTTTTGATAAAAAGTTACATCAACTTTTTCTATATGGTGTCTGCTTCTGATTTGCGTCAAACTTTTTGCTAATGCTTTTTTAATCTAATATTTTTGCAATAATATATAATAGATAAACACGTGGTCATCACTTAACTTTACGTATGAATTAATTAATACAAAAAAAAAATGGTTCAATTTAACTAGAGATTTCGAAATTTATGTTTTAAATATATCAATGTATTGGTTCTTTGAATGGAAAATTTGATGACGTGGTGGTAAAACATGATGGATGCGAAGAAAATTAGAAATTGTTTATTCTATCGTTGTCAAATTTTATTTTAATTCTAAAAATAAGCATTAGTTTCTAATGCAAATATCTAACACCAAGAAAATTAATCATGCATAATTTACATGACATCGACATGCTAACAACTTAATTGTGTAAGATAATTTGAAAACCTATCAAACAATGTAGTCTGAAATTTATTCTTGTCATTAAAATATAGGGATATTTTCTTCATATGAAAGATGTAAAACTCGATATTCAACTTCACAAAATGATCATGCAGTGATAATCGTAAGCAAGTTCGCTATTAAGTTGTACATTCTGTCACGCTAACGTAAAATATTATTTTATCCCTTGACAAAAGGTTCAACCTTCACCAAGTTTCAAGTATTTTTGGTTACACATAAAAAAATAAGTAAAATTACTTTGAACAAACGTAAGTAAGAATGAAATCGTAGTTATATTTCTTTATTCTGAAAGTTACACTTAAAAGATTAACCACTAGGGAATGTTCATTCAATTCAACACTTGATTGGAAGTTATTTTGTGCGAAATAGTGTTAGTCTTATCTTAAACAATGTGAACGTTGTTCGGGTTGATTAGAGTGACATATGATAAACGAGTATTACATTCCGACAGAGTCTTGGATCAGAATGATAGTGGGGGTGAAGAAAAAAAATGCAAGAAAATGATGCTAAAATTGAAAGAAGTAAGAAAGAAAAACTTGAATGGATTGTGGATACAAAATTGTGGGCTCTACCTAACTCGTACACTAAACTTGCTCTGACAAAATGTGAGATTAATGTGAATTGTACCTCAAATGGGAGGACGGTTTTGCATTGAAATGATAACATGCCATAAACTGCAAGATTTGTTCCCATTAAGGATGTGTTGTTCAGCTACCACCATCAGGGAGAAAGACTAGAAAGGAAAGAATGAAATAAAATTTTGATTAGAACACACTAGATTGGTGGATGCTTGATTGAACAAATTCTAGTCCAACTTGTTGGCAGCAAATATTCAAGTCACGGTTTCAGTTTCAGTCCATCTGCTCTTGCTACCGGTTACACAAAATCTTTCTTTCTCTATGTTGAATCAGATATGTGGCCTTCCTTCTTTGAAACTTTTGAATATAATAGACTCATCCTTGGCTACATAAATTATATCTAATGAAATTTGAATCTTATAAGTGGCATGATGCCTAACCCTTCTGCTGCGTTGAACAATGCAGCTTGAACATATTGATATATAAAACCACACCCCATTTCTCTGTGCTATTTTTCCACATAAATTTAGTTTACAAAGTAAAACAACTATGTCATTTCATATGACTTCAGATTTTTGTGTATTCTGTGATCAATATTGGTTTTGGGAAAGTTAGCAATTTGAAAATGACTTATTATCTCAAAAATGTTAGTGGGGATTGATTTTTATAAACAATCCAAAGTCTTGCTTAATTTTCAAACCTGTTTTATCTTTAGCTAGCTAGATTTTAGACTGCTGGACCACCAAGTTTGAGTCTGCCTGAATATCTTAGCAGTAAACAGTTTTGCTCTAGAATGTGTTTTCTGATCACGAACTTATTTAAAGCAAGTAAAGAATTTCTGATTTTTTTTAATTTTGTTATTAGGAGGATTGTAAATGACAACCTTCCAGAAAATGCCATAAATTTGTTGAATTTGTGAGTCAATATTTCTCTAGTGGTACATGATTTGACTAGTATTAGTCTTTATTTTGATTATTGACATGTCACCAGAAGATAGTTGGAGATTCTTATTTTGTGATTTTAGCCTTACTGCAAGCGATTTTCATTAACCCCACTATTTGCTGATTGGGGTTGGTAAGGGAAGGTGATATCAATGATAAGCCCAAATAAAAGTTAACTCTGATTGATTTGATATGAAATTGTTGTCTTGTTTTCATGCAATTCTAGAACATGGATATGCCAATCAAGTTAAAGATTGACTCACTAATCCTTTTACCGAATAAGGGTAAGAAAGATAGATTAACTGTGCTACAGCACCAACCTTGTCCCAAGAAGTTTGTTTTGTTGTTAGTAATTTTTCTCTATTATTATTGGTCATGGATGGCCTAGAGGTTTCAACCTCATAAACTTGAAATATATGCTAAAGTAGAAAAAATGAAAAATAATTACTCTTAATCACGTTCTTGAAAAACTCTGTATTGGCATTCTAAAAAAATGGAAGATAAAGTCACTAAAATGGACCATATCTGTCAGCAGACACCAACCTTGTCCTTAACTGGTTAGTTAACTTCATGGCTATCTCCAACCTACTTCAGGACAAGATTTTAGTCATTTATTTTCTTTACTTTATTATCCACACGCAAAATCAAAGTGGCATAAAAAATACAAGAACATGCAAAACCATCTGCTTAGCAGAAAGAATCTATATCCATTACAACATGGGTGCCACAGTTTTGGAAAAATCTAATCCACAACACACGAAGTTTTGTTAAAAAACAACCATTTGTCAACACGCGGTAGAAGTCAACGGATCAACTCTAAAAATAATTTGGCCTACTTCACTTTCAAAATCACTAGTTTTTTAAATGCACGTTTATAACTTTGTAGGGTAAGAAGAAAGAAACCCCAGAAACAGATAACAGAGTTCAATTATGTTCATTAATCTTCATTTTGCTTCAAGGATAAGCCACCATTAAGAAAGGCCACATTTTTCAATTCCATGGTGGAAATTTCCAAAACAACTCCTCCATTTTAACTTGCTTCGCACCTAAGATTCAATGAGAAAGGCCAAATTTATCACGATAAGGTAGAAAACTTGGAAAAATCTCACAACTCCACCCACCACAAGGATAAACTATTGCCAATTTAATTATGTGAATGTGAAATATGTGTTAGGTTTACACAGGTTGCCAAAGGTGCATATACGTATAATTAGAATAATTTATAGAAGTACGTGAACGAATTTAGGTGCATGTAACATCAGTGATCAGTCCTCAATAAAACATGTTGATATTTCTGAAAAGAAAACATCAAAATCAAACTACACAAAATAACAAGGAAAAAACTTAGATGTATAACGTACAATATCTCTATCTTTCTTCTCCTATGATGTATTTGTTTTTATAACAAAACATCAAATTCCTTAGATTTTTACATCAGGCTCTCAGATTAAATACTGTCGTGTGAATTTTTTCAGCATCATATGTTTAACAGAGCCATTTAATTGGAAAAGTTATCTACACATTTATGTTCAGCATGAGAACTTTATGGTAAATAATACAAGGAATTTGACCTAAATTTTTAATCTCCCTATCTGTAGCTATGATTGCATCACGACGAATTAAAGATGAATCATGCAAAACTGGTCCATGACCATCTCTTCATGATGCTTGTTTGGGAGAGTACAGATTTGTACCAAGAGTTTTGTACAGAGCAGTGTCAGAGTAAACTGCTCGAGACCTCAAGGGCTTAACACGACGTTTATGGCGACGACTTTTTCTTTGCCGGTGGTGACCCTTTTCTTTTTTCTCTCCCTTTTCTTCTTCTTTGGGATTTAACTCATCAGCTTGGTTGATCTCAACAACATGGTCATTTTCTGTTTCTTTTTCATTCACTTTGGGTAAGTCTCTGTCTTCCTCACTGGGAACCACATAGACAAAAGGGCCAACTGGGATGTCTTTCAATTTCAAGAGAGGCTCTAAGGTCCTAACCACTGTTCTCATGGTGGGCCTACCCTTTGCATGATGGCTCAAACATTGGTAAGCCAAGGCTGCAAATTTTCTTGCCCCTTCAGGTGAGTACTGATCCTCAAGTCTTGGGTCCATAATTCTCTCTAGTTTGTAGGAATCCTTCAACAAAGGCCTTGCCCATTCCACCAAATCCTGCTCTCTGGTGGGTCGTTTTTTGTCCACGGATTTCTTTCCTGTGAGGAGCTCTAAGAGAACAACTCCAAAGCTGTATACATCACTCATGGTTGTCAAATGGCCTAATGAAGGAAAAAAAACGGTGTAAGTATAATCAATAAATGAGGTATGACTACAATCAATAAATGAAGGTTTTGATCAAGGTTTTAAAAAACAGTCTATTGCGATTGTGATTTCGGTCGCAACATTCATAGTTTTTGAAGCCAATGCGACCGCAATTAGACTGCATCTGCCATCGTGACCGTAATTTGAACCTTGGTTTTGATGGATGAAATTTAAGGGGTTTTTGAGATTGGTTTTAAATGGAATACAATACCTGTCATGATATACTCAGGGGCTGCATAACCTTGTGTGCCCATCACACGAGTTGTAATGTGTGTTTGGTCTTTTTCTGGTCCATCTATTGCTAAACCAAAATCTGAGAGCTTGGCATTGTAATCCTGGAGAAAATGGTATATACATGTCAATTTGTGTAGATTTTAATCGGTTAACAGACAGTGATGTTCTAAGACTGATTGAACAAAAGGGCCAGTGAAGACTTACAGCGTCCAATAGAATGTTTGAGGACTTAACATCTCTGTATATGACTGGTTTTTCTTCTTCATGAAGAAACATAAGTCCCTTAGCTGCCCCAATTGCTATTTTGATTCTTGTTAGCCAAGGCAAGGCTGCTACATAACCTGCATTTTAGAAGGGTAACCGTTTGGTAAGAAATCATAGAAGCAGCCATTGAATAGAGAAAATGCTTAAACTTTTGTTTTGTTTCACTTTTCTCTCCTTTTTTCTCATAATGAGAGCAAAGGCATGCATGTACCTTTGAAAAGTTTTTCCTCTAGATTGCCCCTTTCCATGTATTCATACACAAGAAGCCTATGCTCATCTTCACAGCAATAGCCAATCAGGTTAACCAGATGGCGATGCTTCAACTGCCCCAGAAAGATTACTTCAGCCTATGTAGTACAAAAAAAGAATTAGTCAAATTCACGACTTGAAAGACAGAGGAATTGAATGGATGGTAATGCTAAAATTTGAAGGGTTTAGCAAACTCTTACCAACCACTCTCTGTGGCCTTGTTTCCCATCCAAGTTTAAGGCCTTAACTGCCACAGCCTGAGGTTTCAACCCAGGCTTAAGATTGTCATCAATAAACCCTTTATACACCTTCCCAAACCCACCTTCCCCAAGAATGTTGGATTTGCTAAAGCTGTGTGTGATCTCTTTGAGCTCCTGGTAGGTGAAAATTCGAAGATTTGATCCCACTAGAGAATTGGATAAATCACTCATGATAGAGAGTGATGAATAATCACTTAGGCTTAAATCAGAGAGGAAGATTCTACTTGATGATGACTTCTTTGAAACTATGTTTGGAGCTTCCGAGGGTTGTTGGTTCTTGGCCTTGAAACAACCAAGTACTAAGGATCTCCATTGAAACCTCTTTGAAGGCATTTTCTATTAAGCTATGTTTGCCGGCTAAAGTGAGTTGGTAGCCTTTCCAATAACTGCTAAATTATGTTAAGATGCTTCTGCTTTTATAGGTGTTATAAGACCAAGCCATAAAGGTTTTGGGGTAATTTTTTGGAAGACTTTGCTAAAGTAACCCAAACATTTCATTTCATCATCCTTGCATTTTTTTCTCCCGTGTAGGCCAGGGTAGTCGATATAATCCATCTTATGTCATTTGATGCAGAACTTTGGCTTATATTATTATTAAAAAATAATGGCAATGAAAGTAATGTAAACGGTGTTAAGGGGGGTGTGCTTTTGATTTCAATGTTTTTTCTTCCGTGTGCTAAAATGTATATATTAAGTGACTCCATGTGATTTAATTTATAAATAGTTTATTGATTTAATTCCATCCATGAAAATAACACCTCCGAAGAAGCTTCTTCGACAATAACCCTGATGCCCTGTTTCTTCATCAAATCCAAACTTCAAAAACAAACCAAATGCTAGATACCGTGGAACATGTGGTTCCAAACATCCCATGCCAACCCCACCCCACCCCACCCCACCCCGTTACTCGTCACGTCAACCTTGATTCATTTAGTTCCACTGCATGTGTTATCACTAGCTATCAAGAATCTCACTTTTAAGCCATCACAAAATTCTAATCCATCTTACCATGCCTTCAATTTTTATTTAGGTTAAAATGTGAGCAAAATATTACTTTTTTATTAACAATTACTAAATCAATCTTGCTAAAATTTACAATTTTTTTTAATATTTGCTAACCAAATAATATATTTCTTAAGTTTTTTGTTTGTTTGATTTGAAATTTGAAGAAAGAGTTGTAAACGGAAGGAAAATAGGACAATAAATAAGCTTTCTTGATTTAAAAGTCTTTAAAACATGAAGAAAGTAATGAAAGTTTTACTTATAAAGATGGTGTTCATATATGGCGTAATTGATATCGCGAAGACGACTCCTCTATTTTTAAATATATTTTTGTTGATCTAGAAAAACTCCTTTATTTATATATAATATTTTTTCCTCTTTTATTATTTTGTTTTCATTTTATAAAATTTTAAAATTCATGAAATGCATTTAGATAATTAGTAGCGCGTGTGGAAATAAAGAATACACGGTTGTGCTGAAAAAGAGTATACAGAGACCGAGGTTGCTATACCGTGGTGGAACCTCCCATTTCAAATTATCTACTTCCAATTTCAAAACACCGTTCACAATTACACCCCAAAACTATCTATTCAATTTTTAATTATATATAAAAAAACCTTTATAAGTATTAAATATCTTTTTTTTTAATTCAATTTCTTATAATAAAATGTGTAAACAACATAATTTATTTTACATTTATAAAATAATAGTTAAATTTACAATATATATATATATATATATATATATATATATATAAATCATCATAATACTTTGTGTGGAAATTAATTTTGTGTATAATTTAACAATTCATGAATTCTTTCATAATGACTAACAATTAAAAAAAAAACTATGAAATTTTATAAAGAAAAATAACATCCATCTTACCAACAAACGAAAAAATAATATACATTTCAGAACTATCAACCTATTACATTTTTTAAATAAAATATAAAAAAATGAATAAACACTATATAATTTCTAATTAATTGGAAACACGGATTTTTAAATAAAAAATTATGAATAAATTTCAAATGTAATTTTGTTAAAATGTGGAAGAAGATAATGTGGGCACCAAAATGAAAACATATTCGTACAAATGAGCAATAGAAAGTAGCAGGAAGTGTAATGGAGTAATAAACTTTTTAAAAGATAACTATTAACTTTAAACAGAAGATAAAAAAATAAAAAACTGATATTCAATGAACTCGATTTCATTGATTATGCGTAGGAGCATTTAAAAAAAATGAATATATTAAGTACTTTTACCCTAAATTCCTTTTTTTCTAGCATATAACAGTTACAAAAATTAAAATACATAATTGTGGTATTCCACATTATTTTATCCTGTATTTTTATTTTTTAAGCTGTTATCTAAGATTCCGATGATTTATGAAAATATATAAGGAAAAATATTAATGAGGAAAATAAGTATAAAATGACTTTTTTTTTTAACTCATAAGAAAATATCACTTTCTATTATGTTTACTTTCTTTTAACGTATGATAAAAAAAATGTAAAAAAAAGTATTATTTGATAAAATTATCCTTATCTTTAATAAATGATTATTATTTTTATATTAATAATTTTAATATATATATATATATATATATATAATTACTATTTTATCAAAATAAATATGGTAATTATAAAAGTTATATGCATAATTTTATATGTTTATTTATTTATTTTTAGCATGATATTATTTTATTAATTTAATTTTAAATAATTTTAGAAAAAATATTTTCATAATAAATAATAAAATCTAAACAAAATTCAAGTGAGGCCAAAAAGATATTTTTCATTAACTTTTAAGATTAATACATAAGAAAAAATTTGAAATGAAATAATACAAAGTTAAATTTGTCCAGTTCCACAACGAGGGCGGCGTCTATTACGTCTTAAATTTCTTCGTTGTGGTTGTTCATGTTGAGGAGGATATTCTTCTGCAGGAAGTTGGAGATCTTCCAACTGAGTTGATGAAGTCCCTGGTTGATTGGGATCTTGTGGTTGGTACAGAGACCTCATATAAGTAGTTGTTGAAGCTGGAGTTGAAAAATCAACTCCAAATAGATTAGTCATCATTTCATCTGAACTTGCAGCAAAAGAATGCCTTCCTTGTATTTTTGGAGTTGGTGTGTGATATGATGAGGTTGAGGCTGCTAGTAGGAAGGTGTAGAACTTATACTCGTTTCATAAGTGGAACGAGTTTGTTGCCTGCCTCTTGAGTCTTGTAGTAGACGTGGGACAGATAAAAAAAGAATGGAATTGACACTATACGATTCTATATATTCTGCACTGTGAAACAATGGGCCTGAAATTGGATGACCTATAATTGTGTGTTCACGTCTGTTATTCCAATAATCAATCCACTAGGCATGTTTTGTAACCCAGTTTTCATCTTGCCAACCTCTCATATCAATTCGGTGCAGTTCAGATAAGTTGTTGGGTTCAGATGGGACCTCTTGAAACAAGCCAAACTGGAGTTTGACTTTGTCTGCTTGATGCTATTCAACCATTGCAAAGGAGATGATACCAATGCATGACTTCCAAATGGTTGAATCCCAAAATGTTTCATTAGGAATTTCTTGTTGAAGCTATCTATAGGGAACCCATATGAACTAAAAAAAAATGGTGTAATACTACATATTATGTACATAATTGTGAAATTAAATAATCAACTGAGGAAGTAACATATTTTAAAGATGTTTATATTTAAAATAATATTTAATTAAATAAATATTTTAATATAATACTTTTTTTTATAAAGACTAATTTCTAAAAAAATTATAAAAAAAATTATTTATAAATTTTTCTACTAATTTAAATTATTAAATACTTCCTACAAATTTAAATTTATAAAATAATTATAGAAAATAATTTTAAATATTTATCAATTTGTTTAGATATTTTTCAAAAAAAAGTATAGTTATTTTAAAATAATTTATATATATATATATATATAATTCATATATTTATAGTAAATTTGGTAAAAATAATTTTCAAATAATTTTATAATTACTTTTTTAATATAAATTTGCTACAAATTTGCTACAATTTAACTATGATGGTATGTTACATGATTTAGTTAGGAAATAACTTCAAAATGTAACATAGATAATATTTATAGTGAGGGATTAGTGACAAAACTTTTCCTAGCTAAATTATTTTTCTGCTAAGTGAAGGAATAGCTACAAAAATATTAATTTTCTAGCTATTTTACTACATATTAGCTACAACCTTATTTCTTTACTATTCCATAGCTAAAAAATAAATTTTGTAGCAAATTTTCCTAGTTAATTGTAAAATTTATTGTGGTGACCATTCTACTAATGTTGTGACCAAACTGTGATCCACCATCAAGTGTCTTACTTAGACACTCCAGCAAAGCCAAGTTGTTCCAATAAAGGAACAATTAATGGGTGTGGTGTTGATATTGAGTGACAATATGATGAAATCATATTTTTCATTTCCTGTACATTACCATAAAGTTTGTAAAAAAAACAGGCAATGTATGAAATGATGTATATAAAACAAGAAAATGTATTGAAAACTTACATTGCTTCCAATTAAGGCAGCTTTATGTTCAGCTTGCTTCCATAACAACATTTTGTGAGAGAGAAGTGCAAGTGCTTAGGTAAGAGGAAGAAGAAATGTTGAGAGAAAACTCAAAGTGCTCTGGTAAGAGGACGAAGAAATGTAGAAAAAAAACTCAGAGTGAATGTTAGACAACAAACTCAAAGTGAAGAAAACTCAAAGTGTGCTTATGTATTTATAGGAGAAAAAATAATGTGGTGGTCAGCAAACATTAATGGGGTGGTCAGCTTTGCAAGGAATCAAATGCTGAGTCACCCACCCAAATCAAGATTCTCATGCCTTTTTGACGCACACAAGGTCCAAGAAAGGGGTTTGGTCAGCAAGCATTAATGGGGTGGTCAGCAATTTAGGGAATCCAATGCCACTACCACCCACCCAAGTCAGGATTCCCATGCCTTTATGACGCACACATGGTCCAAGAAAGTGGTCTGGTCAGCATGCATTAATGGGGTGGTCAACTTTGCAGGGAATTCAATCCCTGTATTGGGTTAGGCAAAAGCAGAAGAATCCAAGCACATTTAAAGAGATGTTAACCCACCCACTTTGCTTGGGTTTTGTGTGCATCATAAGTCATGTGAGGGAGCCTTGGATTCCTTGCATTAGGTTAGGCAAAAATAGAAGAATCCAAGCACATTTAAAGAGATGTTGACCCACCCACTTTGCTTGGGTTTTGTGTGCGTCAGAAGCCATGTAAGGGAGCCTTGGATTCCCTGCATTGGATTAGGCAAAAGCAGAAGAATCCAAGCACATTTAAAGAGATGCTAACGAACCCACTTTGCTTGGGTTTTGTGTGTGTCAGAAGCCATGTGAGGGAGCCTTGGATTCCCTGTATTGGGTTAGGCAAAAGCAAAAGAATTCAAGCACATTTAAAGAGATGCTGACGCACCCACTTTGCTTGGGTTTTGTGTGCGTCAGAAGCCATGTGAGGGAGTCTTGGATTCCTTGCATTGGGTTAGGCAAAAGCAGACGAATCCAAGCACATTTAAAGAGATGCTGACCCATCCACTTTGCTTAGGTTTTGTGTGCGTCAGAAGCCATGTGAGGGAGCCTTGGATTCCCTGCATTGGGTTAGGCAAAAGCAGAAGAATCCAAACATATTTAAAGAGATGTTAACCCACCCACTTTGCTTGGGTTTTGTGTGTGTTAGAAGTCATGTGAGGGAGCCTTGGATTCAAACCATTGGACTTCATTATCAATAGACCACTTTCATTCTTTGAAACTCTCACATTACACACTCATAAATCTCTAAAGCTCTTTACATTCTTTCTTCTTCATACCTTTAGTCTTCTTTTTGTTCCACACTCCTATAATGGGTGTAGTGTCTACTATTATCCACTATGATGGTTTCATGAACTCATGTCTCATGGAGGGAGTTACCTTCAATACTGGGACTGCAAAACTTGTTCCTTTGAAGAGAGGAATTTTTCTATAAAGGTTGAAGAAGTTGATCCATAGGAAATTGGAGAAAGAACCCCACAAAAATATAGCAACCATCCATTTTTGTTGCCCAACTAGATTCGAAGTTGGGATTAACAACTTCATTTTTGTTGAGTTGAAAGATGATGACAATGTGAAGGTCATGTTCGATGTGCATGACTCAAACTCAAGTGTATGTGGTATTGAAATTTTTGCTACATTTGAAACTTCTTCTTCTTCATACCCCAACACACACTCACATGAAATATCACTCTCATCCTACCAAATTTTCCCAAACACTGACCCAAAAATACTCACACATAATGACTATATCCCTTTTACCCAACTTCTAACTGGGCATTCCACCAACATCAACGAAGAACTACCCACACAAGAGAACAAAATTGTTGGTCTCTCAATTGAAGTTATTGATCCTTTTAATGAGGACGAAGATGAAAATGAAGATTAAATTCTCAGCCAACAACAAGATGATTAAGAGGATGAACAACTACATATCCCTACACATGCACCAAACTTCATGGAACCATACAACTCACCACAACATTTTCTTAACTTTGAAAGTTACATTCAACAAGACCCAAAGTATGGTCATGCGTTGGACAGAGAGTCTATTGTTTATCTGCCAGGAACTCTATTTCTTGGACAATATTTCATAACAAAAGAATAAGTTCAAGATGTCATCAACCGCTTTCACATTGTCAATCACTACACGTATAAGGTGAAAATTTCAAACCAAAGTAGATATGTTGTTCAATGTGTTGATAACCAATGCAGTTGGAGATGTCGAGCAATATTGCGCACAAGAGAGCAATATTGGGAGATTATGAAGCTTGAAGGACACCATACATGTGTTTCTCCATTAATCAGCCAAGACCACAACAAGTTAGGATATAAAATAATTTTCCAAACAATTGGTCAAATAATTTATGTTGATCCGTCAACACCAATCTCCACAATTATAGCCCACATCCAATTAACAACGGGTTACACTATAACGTACAGGAAGACCTGACTGGCCAAACAAAAGGTAGTGGAGATCATTTACAACAATTGGGAAGATTCATATAAGAAGTTGTTTTGTTTCTTACAAGTCATGCAACAATTTGTTCCCGGATTCATCTGTAAACTGCAGTCACAACCAACTTACCAAGGTGAGGTCCTTCAACAAAATTTAAATATTTTAAGCGTGTGTTTTGGACATTTAGGTCATGCATAAATGGATTTGTTCATTGCAGGTCCATTGTTCAAGTGGACGGAATTTTTCTGTACGGAAAGTACAGAGGTACCTTGTTGGTTGCAGTAGCACAAGATGGCCGCAACAACATCCTCTCCATTGCGTTTGCAGTGGTCGAAGGTGAAACAAGTGATGCCTGATTTTTTTTCTTAAAAAACTTCCAAAGATATGTCACACCTAGCAAGGATTATGCCTCGTATCAGACCAACATGAATCCATTATAAGTGCATAGATGAGAAATGAAAGCAGATGGACAAAAAATAATTCAGTGCATGTCTACTGCATTAGACACATTTTATGAGACGTTCCAAAAACACCGCACTAAGGAAGGATGTTGTAAATATGAGTAATTCTTTTGCTTCAAATTTGTTATAATTTATTCATTATTTAACTATTGCTAATAAATATGTATATTAACTATGTTTTTTTAATATTGTTGTAGCATATGGGATGACTGAACTACGATTCTACTACTATTACAACATCTTGAGACAATGTGACATAGAAACAACTAATTGGTTGGATGAGATACTTAGAGAAAAATGGGCACTTGCATGAGACAATGGACGATGTTGGGGTCACATGACGACCAACATAGCAGAGCTCTGTTTTGAACAAAATAAGAAATCTGCTCATTTGCTCCATGGTCAACGCAACATACACCCGCTGCAACAAATTTTTCATCGAAAGAGAGAGACAAATAGATGTCATGATCAATGTTGGTCATGTATACTCTAAAATTTTGGTAACAAATTTAGAGGAAACACAAACACAGGCAAACACGCATAGGATCATAACTTTTGACAGATCTACCACAAATTTTGTAGTAGAAGAAATACAAAACCCGCATGAAGTTCAATCAGCAGGGAGGTTTGCAGTTCGCCTTAATGAGTTGTGGCGTAACTGTGAGAAATTCCAGAAATTTCACATGCCTTGTTCACATGTTATTGCTGCATTCAAGCATGCACATCATGACTTCAGCAACTACATTCATCCAGTGTATACCTTACAACAAGTTTCAAAGGTATACGAAACACAATTTGGGTTGCTACGAAATGAAGAATATTGACCAACATACACAGGACCTACTTTGTGTGCAAATCCAGAAATGAAAAGAACTTCAAAGGGCCGACCAAAATCAAGTCATATAAGAACTAAGATGGATATTATAGAAAATCAAAGTAGGATGAAGAAATGTTCATTTTGTCATACCCCTGGTCATAGCAAAAGAACATGCCCCAATGTTGTACATGTATCTACTTAGCATCATTAGATTGTGTTAGTTAAGAAATGTCCAAATGTACTATGAAACTTAGGAGTTTTTCAATTAATAAAATTTCTTCTTTACTTGATTAATTTAGAGTAATTATTTTTTATTTATACAAATAAAATTATAAAGTATTATATTTAAACATATAAATAAATTACTTTAAATATACATTAAATAATTACAAATAAAAAATATATATCAAATTAAAATTAAAAAAATAACTATTTATAAATTATATATATTATATAAATTATAATTATAAAGTTAAAAAATTATATTTAGAATTATAAACTTAAAAAAATAACTATTTATAAATTATATATATTATATAAATTATAATTATAAAGTTAAAAAAATTATATTTAGAATTATAACCTTAAAAAAATCACAATTATAAAATTTATAAAAATATATCTATTTTTTATGTTAAATAAATTATATATTATATAAATTATAATTATATATATTACATAAATTATAATTATATATATGAAATTCAAATTAATATATATATATATATATATATATATATATATTGCATAAATTAAAATAATAATTATAAACTTAAAAATAAATTATATTTAGAATTATAAAAAGAATCTATTTATAAAATTAATAAAACAAAAACTAAAACAAAAATTAGAAAAACCAGTTCAGAATTTGATTCCTCGACCGAATTCTTATTGAAAAAGAAAAATTAGAAATGGTAGTTCGAAATTCGATTTCCGAGAATCGAATTCCCCAACGTGAACATTAAATGGTGCTAGATGGAAAAATAATATCGTAAAAATGCTCTTTTGGGAAATATTTCTTAAAATGATATTATTTATAAAAAAAATATCAAATTATCAAGAACTTCGTGATTTTATGGTTTTTTTTAATACGCAAAATCTCTTAATTAAATTTTTTTTCGTACTTTCTAATTTTCACTTTCATCTATTACATGTACCAGGAAATTTTATGTATGATAATAGATGATAAAAAATTATATAATTAGTTTAATTCATAGTGGTCAAATTAAAAAATTACACAACCAATCATCATTGAATTTGCTTGATATTGTTAAAGTTGGATCAACTAGCTTAAAAAGTCAAATTAATCTGATTAGATTGACATAAATCAATGAACACTTGTATTTAAGAAACTATTAATATGTTAGTTTAATAACTAGAAAAAAAATGATAGTTCTTATCTAATGAATTAATAAATTAATGCATGGTTTATTACCTTATCTCTCTACATATTTAGAAGACAAGTTTGGCTGAACAGTAGAACAAGAAGTTGGCAGCAGGAAGGTTTAAATCCAATAAAAATAGTTTAAAAAGAAATGGAAATCACGTAGCACTTGTTCAATTCAAGGTATGAATTCGTACCTCATTGCCTTCTATCGTAATTGACTTTGAATGTTGAAAGCACAAGTTTTTTTTTTGGAACGTTCAGACCGTAAAACGAAGTTGTTAGAGAAACTTATGTCACTTCTTTGTCATGCTGCCACAGCTATTTCTTAGCAATTTCACCGTATGCTGCTGGTCTTTTGGGGATAAGGTAGGTGCTTCACTCGTGTCACGCTTCTTCGCAATTTCGTAGGTTTATTATGTTATTATGTGTGTTTATTTTATTGGGTCACATGGAAAGGAAATATGAACAATGAATGATCATCGGTCTAAGAACCTTTCCTTTTCTGGTCCGGTCAGCTGAACAAAATAAAGATAATGGTATTGGTAGTTGAAGACCTCAAATTTTATGAAACCAAAAAAACTAATCTTTAGACTTCACTTTAGTAGCATTTACCATGTTTCAGAAAATTTGGTTTTTGCTGTTAGTTGCTTGAGATGTTCTTGATTGAAAAAAGTTATACATTTTTTTCACGTTTTGGCTTACTCTTTGTATGTTCCCTAAAAGCCAGATGTTGTAAATTAGGGAAACCTATTTTCAAGATAAAAAGATATACAATATTAAATTTTAATTAAATCGCCACAGAAAAACAAAATAGATAAAATTGAGAAAATCTCGAATCAATTTAAAAAAAAAAATAAGATCGTTTTTTTTTAATATTATTTAATTTTTTCTTTTCTTTTTATATTGTATTCTTTAAATCAATTTTAAATAATAATTATTTTATTATTTTTTATCATATTTTAATAATTATCGATTTTATATTTTTTTAATATATTCTATATTTATAATTTTATAAAAAAAATAATATTATTATTAATAAATTTATTATATATTTATGATATTAATCGGTAAAATGATATTATGTCATTATATCAATTGATTCAGATGTATGGAAAATAAATGTTGAATTAACATCACTTAATTTCTGGATTAATGAATTTATCTTTCCTTTTATTAAATATAAAGTTTACTCCTTAATATATAATAAAAATAAAAATAATTACATTAATTTGATAAGTATTTATATCTTAAAAGTTTGAAAGAGAAATTTCCCATAATATTACTGTATTCTAATAAATTATTTTTAGGTTAAAAATCTTTCCTTTAAACTTTTAAGCCTGGATAAATATTTGGTTGCTCTTAATTATAACTAGATATCAGTTTGGGTAATAAACTTGTTGAATATTAACTGTAATAATACTAAGAAAAGTATTGATAACATATGTATAATCCGTTTAACAAATTTTTATAAATGTAGAAAATTTCCAAAATTCACTTTTCTGGTAGTTTATTATGTATAGGGTGTGTAAAAAAACAATGATTCTGATCTGATAACGATGGGATTAATTCCAAATGCAGGTTCTAGGGTTCTACAGTTTTAAAAGGTCCCATTCAATGAACACCTAACATTTGGTTTACATAGCATTGCTTCGAATATCATAAGGTCAGAGAATAAAAGAAGAAAATTCATAAATCATGATGCACAGAAACTACGTCACTTCCTTCATTATTTGTTTGAATTATCGTACACACATATGAGGTCGGCAGAGTGAAAACTAATTACATTTTGATTCAAGATTCCATCGATGATAGTGAAGAAATAAATGCCTCATACTTTAAAGAACATGGGAATGAAAAAATTAAATGAAATATTTCCCTTTCAAACTCCTTTTTCTTTTATTGGTTTTATCAAGTTATTTGAGTGGGTCTAGTTTAGTTTAAACCTATTTGTACTTAAAATATTTTATAAATAATATTATATATATATATATATATATATCATTATATTTTATTTAACTTGTTATTTACGAAGTATAGAATAAATAATGGAAATAATAAAATATTTTTTTATGGGAAGAAAATACGCATACATCAATTACTTGAATTTTTTATATATATATTTTTTAAAATATCTTAAGAATTTGTTAACATAAATTAAATATAAGTATCTTTTTCTCCAAAGATAATTGAGCCAGTGCATTTAATTTCACTTTGTGCGAAAGTGACTTCTTTTATTAACCCTAATCCCTTTAGTTGACTTATTCTAGCTAGAGAAATATTAGAAGAAAAATACAATTTTTTTTTTAATACTAAAAATTTGTATATTTTAAATAAGTTACTTCACAATAACTTGTAAAAGAAAAAAAATTAACTTCTTTATTATATAAAATATAGATAAGCTAAACTATACAAGTTCTTTCGTATAATATCAATAATTAAATATATTTTTAAATTTATATAATATAATAAAAATAAAACAATGAATATTTATAATTAAATAATAAAACAATATATTTATACATCAGATTTTGTTTTTTTTTCCATAAAGTTACAAAATATTATCACATAAAATAATAATTATATTATTGTATAACTATGAAAAATAATAAAATTGTTTAAGTATATTTAATATGAACATCAACTCAAAAGTATTGATTAAGCTCCAATAACTATATAAACCTTTTAGAGTCCTATGTTATATATGTACTAAGAAAATATTTATGGGGTTTGATTATTATTTGTTTAGTGTATATAAAATATTTCAGGATATTTACAACATAATCTATAAATATGTTGAATATGAATTTATAGATTAATTAATTACGAAGAAAAATAAACTCATTTTCAAAACAATAAATAATAATGTAATACATGTATGGATTAAATTATAATTTATTAAACTTATAAAAACTAAACATATTTTTCAATCACGTCATAGATGCCTAACATTTAGAAAAGTCTTAAAGCATATTACTTGAGTCTTTTTTTATTTAATATTTTTTATATTTTAAAACTTTTTTGGGATGTTTCTTCTATTCCCTAAACTTTTTTATATTATTATTAATTTAGCTTTTGCTGTGAAGTAATAATGTTAGTTTATCTATATGTTTTTTTTTAATTTATATTTATAATCTCTAATTTATTCAAATCAGTTAATGTATATCAAACTTAGTTGGTAACATATTAAAAATAATTACTAACAAATTTATGTTATTGATTAACTTTGTTAATTAACAAAATCAACATCTAAAAACATGAAAGATAAAATGTTTAGTAATTTTGACCAAACAAAATTTAGAGAGATTAAAAACATAAATCTAAATCTTAAAAATTCTAGAGGCAAAAAAATAATGTAGGTTGTTTAGACATTGATAAAAAAAATTATCACTCATTCTATTTAGTTTCTATTTTAATTTATGCTAAATTAATATTCCTTATATAACATGATTACATTTTTTTTTCAGTTTTTTTATTTTATCTATAAATATAATGAGATTTTATATTATCTACCAATTTAAAAGGAATCAGAGACAATGTAAAAATGACAAGGAGAAATAAAGAGAAACTTACGAAATATAGAGAAATTAAACTTAGGAAAAAAAATTCTCTTAACAGAAAACCAATTTGGTATAAATAAAACAATTTATAAAAACTTGTTTGAAAAATAAATCAGGATTCCTAATTGTTTGTATAACAGTTTGAGACAGTAAAAAGGAATCATAATTTTTCACGTTAAACTTTTGCTAGAATATTAACAAAACACTGGTAAAAGACACTTAAAATAAACACAACAGTGATATCTTTTGAAAGATTTTTTTATATATTTTAATTTTTAATGTAATATAAATTTGAGTTTTATTATTTTGTTAATTAAGAATAATATGGGATGTGTGTGGCACATACTTGGAGTCCATAAAGTTTGGGCTTAGAAAGGTCAACCCGTTTTTCAGTCTGTCTTTGGTACTTCTTTCAAATTAACTTTTTGAGTTTCGGTCAATAATTGTTGTTTGAATTGTTTTGAGCTATGAACTGGAAAGCATTATTAGAACGACCAAGTCTTATGTATTTCTCCCAAATTTGTTTTGTACAATAGTTGTATGATTTTGTGGGAAAAAAAATGACAAGAAAGAAGAGAAACAAAAGCAAATAAGTGGCTCTCGAAGACAAGGTACATTAAAGTAAAAAAATGAAATTTAAAGAATATATTATAAAAATATAATTGTTTCTGAAGTATAAAAACTAAAAGAAAACATATTTTATAACCTTTGAAATAAGTCATGTTATAACTTTTAGACTCAGTATTAAACGGGACATAAACTGACCTTAAAGTTGGTCTCTAAAGAACTTAACTGACCTTAATTAAAATGAATAAAATGATTCCCATCACACTTTTGCTTGGTGCGTGTAAAATTACTTCAATATTTTTTTCATTCTTGCTTTTTCCCATTTTTTTTTTTACTCAATCCACCCACCCTTTCTACCAAGTCAATGATTTGATTTTCTATTTTCAAAGTCCATAATATATTCTTCTTATAATATGTAGGTTGGTATCGTATATTTGATATTAGGTTACTTATATACGTCACATGTCCTACAACAACGTTTGGTGATGTTATTATTCTAAATAGTTGAATGTAGTATCATAATTTGAGTATATCTTCTTCTTCAGTTTCTTATTATTTTCTAAGTCTTCTAATGTATCAATTGGTAAGTTTCCAAGCATGAGTTTAATTTAAACTGTGGATGATTGCTGGTTTTTTGAAATGGAGTAGGTTTTCCAAGGTTCTTAAATGGAGGCAGATTAAAGCATTCCAACCTTCCTACGCCGTCGTTGTTTTGGACGACACATCCTTTATTATTCTTCAGTAATTACAGTATTAGTCAAGATTAAGAAGGATCCTAGACTTTTCAGGATCATATTACCTCGTGTTTTCTTTTTTTGTCTTCCATATCCAACATCATGTTAAAACAAAAATTATGAAAAATGTTTTAAATTGATCTAGACATATTATTTTTATATATTACATTACTTAAATTCCAAATAAATGGAATGTTCTATCATATTAGATTAATAAAATTAAAATATATAAATATTTAATATGATTAAAAAATATATGAAATATGTTTTTAATTGGTTTAGACATAATTATATATTACATTGTTTAAATTCCAAATAAATGGAATGTTCTAAAGTATTTATAAAATTTAACATTAATGAAGTTGAACACATTATCCAAAGAGAATGACGTGAAAATATAATATATCAAGTACTATTATTAAATTACAAGATTAATTGTAAACTAGATCAATTATAAAAATATAATATATCATAATCTTGAACCCAACTTGTAGAATATTATTCGCTAAAACAAAGAAGAGAAAACAAAAACATAAAACAAAATACCACGAGTGGATTGGGTGGAGTTTTTATTTACTAATTGCAAATTTTCAATTAACATTAATCACCCCTAGATTTCTATTATTAAAATAAAACTATAATCAATATTAGAAAAAACATTTATTGTTAGGATCCAGCACTGCCAAAAGCTATAACTATTAGTCAGAGCGCAATTCTTTTTAGTTAAGAGTAACGATCCAAGCCCAAGCACCACGATTCGATTATGACTCGACCCATCCGATCTCCGTCACGAAACAATTGATGTTACCTACAACATTTATTTCTTGCTCAATTTTTTCAAAAAATAAATCTTTAAAAATTCTACAAATTTTATTGTAGAAAAATATTTGCAAATAAGTTGTGATAATATTTTAATGAAATTAAAAAAAAATGCTTTAAATAAAAGTGTTGATCCATTTGTTAGAAGTGTATCTTTTCTAATTCATCCCTCGCATATAACTCCTTTGCCCTCGACCACGGTTCTCACCACGGATACTCTGTTATGGACAACGCTTCCATCACAATTTTATTTTTCTCCTGCTTATATTCGTGTTTGCATGTCATTTAAATTTAATTATTTTCTAAATCACTCCCTTTGAAATCAAGCACAAACTTTTAAGGTTTACATTTTTTTATTGCGTAATCTAAATATAAATTTAAGTCTTATATTGAATAAAAATAGCAAAATATTAAAAAAAATAACATGACATTAATATTATTTCTTCCGATTTAAGTCGTTTTTTTTCAACAAATAAATGATTTTTTTAACTTTAAATAAATTATAATGTATATAAGTAATGGCATAAGGGTTTGCTAAAAAAAAAATTAGGTAAACTTTGTTAGGTTAGTTTAAATTCTAACTCGTAATGATGAAGTGTGTTTTTTTGCATAAACTATTTTATCATATCACACTTTTTAACAAAAAATATTTGTGTGAGTTTGATTTGAATGTTGTGATTTCTACGAGAGTGTGTGACAGCAAATATTGAATTTGAATTTAGTCGTAGATTTTGTTTTTTCATGTAAAAAAAATAAAAATCAAGATGTTTGTTGGTTACAACTCGTTTCATTCCACTAATGTGGTCTAACATAAATTACCTTCTTTTACTTTTAAAAATTAGTGTCAAAAGACGGATTCAAATTACTATTATCATTCGAATTGTCCAAACCACGTGTTATATATTAATTCTCTTAAAACTATAATTTTTAACAATTGTGCATTATTGAAACAAATATATTTCATATTAATATTTTACAGAACAAGATTATATATATATTTGGTAAAATATATCTTATTTTAAGATTTATAACTTTACAGATATAATTTTATATGTCTCTTTTAGTCTCTAGCGTTTAAATCTTTAGAAATTCAAAGAGATTAAAAATAATGTTTGTAAAAATTAAGAGGGATTACTTTTAATCTTTTAAAAATAAAAACAAAATTATTTAATTAAGATTTTGTTTGCAAGAAAAAATCATTCCACAAATGTTTTGTAGGGTGAAGTGTGAAACCATGTTTAGCATGGGCTATAGTGGAGATTGGGTCCAACATGTGACCAACCCACTAAAATAAGCTTCAGTATAAATATTTTCAATTTTCACTTTTTTTTTAAGGCGAAAAGTAAACGTAAGCATGTCGGAAGTCAAATTTTTATAAGCTCATTATGCATATTTAATTACATAAAATAAGTGCTTATTTTTTTATTAATTTTTAAAAACTAAAAAAGAAAATAATCCTTGTGTTAGTGGCAAATCGAGAAAAGCGATCGAAAATGAAGGAAAGAAATGTGACTCGATAAGATAAACAAAAATTCATTTGATGTCTGATTAGAAGTACGTAGCATCGAGAAGCACAATCGAGAATCGAGTGAATGATAACCAAATGCCTGTTATCGAATAAAAACTAAGTTATATGAGACCTAGGTCAAAAAGGAATCACAAGTAAAATCGAAATTATCGAAAATACAAAATCGAGAGTGAAGAAAGCCAATGTGGACATTGGGATTCCGCCAAACCGTGAAGAGAAGAACAAGTCAAACGCACGTATAGAGAGCAGTTCGAAACCCTGGAGGAAGTCGAAGATCGTGAGAACGTGGGAGGCACGTGGAAGGTAAATCGTCATATGCACGTAGAACGTGGTAGCAGCCTTGTTAACTCGCTCCTGGAAAGCTTGAACGATGTCCTATAAATAGAGCAAAGAAGGACTGAACAGGGGGCGAAATTGGCGAGAGGACGGAATCGGTAGTGAAAAGTCTACCGGAGAAACGACGAACACCATGAAGCTTCTGGCAATCTGGATTTCCTTGCTCACTGAGTACATTTACCGCTTTCTGTATTTTCCTTGGTAATTTACTTTGATGCAATTTAAATTCAGCAGTTTTATGTTTCTGTACTTTCGATTCCTTGTCATTTTAATTCAATGAAAATTTAAGTTTCTGCGTTTAAGTTTCCAGTTATTTATATTTTCTGCACGTTTCGATTTCCCGTCATTTAGTTTTTCATGCAAACTTAACTTCCTGCCATTTACATTTCCGTCATTTCCGATTCCTTGTCATTTACAATTATTGCAAACTTGGGGTTCTCGTAATTTACATTTCTTCGCAATTTAACATTCTGTTTTTTCGATTCGATAGTTTTACTGCTTTCAGTACTTTAAATACAAAATACCAAAAATAGCTTTTTCGATATATTGTGATTTTCGATTCTCATGCATGTTTTCGATTGAAAATCAAATTGCTAGCCTAAGTAAAAAGAACTTACGTGGTAGAATTTTGATTAGGACCAAAACACCTTTAGAATCGAAATCGATCGAAATTCCACCAGAAACAAATTGGCGCGCCAGGTAGGGAACGTTTTCTTGTGTTGAGAGACACAAAATTGGTTAGTTCGAGAGTGTATGAGATTAAGGAGTGGGAGAATCATGAGTCAGAGTTCATCAAATAACCAGAGTAATAGTGAGGGTCTAAATGGTGTACATTCATCAAATACTGGGGGGCAAAGTCAGAATGAGAATACACCTGTAGTATCGACAACTGTAAGTATGTCGATACCCGTGAGTAATGAACAGAACTCAGACACTTTAGCAAATATCCAAGTGGGATCTAGCACGGTGGCACTAAACAGTATGCCAACTATGGGAAACCCTATAACAACAAATGCTGGGCCGTATATGAGTATAAGACCACCTGGGTCTTCGCTTAACATGAATGGGGTTGGTACTTCTTCGATGCAACGAAATTCGAGATATAACTTAGGAACATTCCAAACCTTAGGTATGCCACAGAATTTTGGAGCATCTCCAAACCTAGGAACATCTCAAAATCTAGTAATTCCCCAGAACTCAGGGAGTGTGCAGAATGTAGGAACACAGCAAATACCTCCCAATCTAGATCATAGAGGAAACTTAGATCATGGAAGATATGCGTTCGATAGGGATTATCATCGATCTAATTTTGATCCAATCGAAAATACCGGTACTGGGATATCCAGTAACTCATTAGGGATACTTAGACAACAAATGGATGAGAGTAATTTTGAGATGGTGAATATGTTATCACAACAGTTGACTACAGTTCTAAATCCATTAGTTCAAAACACTACCGCTAGTTTCGAGATATTAGCAGACCAAATGTCACGAATTGGGGATGCATTGGTTGTACCTCGACAAACGAGAGTAGAAAATCATGTCAATCAGAATACTACCGTCAATCCCCCGTATCTATTGAGAAGGAATAAAAACAATGATCAACATCAGCATATGGGAAATGAGTACCAACACGTGAGGAATGACATTTATGGGAATTTGAACGAAGGATTTCAAAATATACACAATCAGAATAACATGTTAGGACAAAGGATGAATTTACAAGGGATGGAATTTAGACCACCCAATCAGACATATTTTGTGTCTCCCTTTCCGAATGCGATTCTCGAGACAGAACTGCCTCGAGGATATAAAGTACCCAAATTCACTAAATTTGCTGGAGAAGTTGGTGAATCGACTATTGAGCATGTGGCTCGATATCAGATCGAATGCGGGGATTTAGCGATGAGTGAAGAATTAAAGATGAAATATTTTCCTAGTTCTTTGACTAAGAATGCTTTTACTTGGTTCACTTCGTTACCGCCCAATTCGATATATAATTGGTTGCAGTTAGAGAGAAATTTTCATGAACAATTCTTTAGAGGAGAGACCCAAGTAAGTCTAATCGATTTGATGAACATAAAACGATACAATCATGAAAGCATAGATGATTATTTGAATCGATTTAGACAAATGAAATCGAGATGCTTCACTCAAATTCCTGAATATGAATTAGTCAGAATGACCTCTGCAGGTTTAGAATTCTCGATTAGGAAAAAACTAGTCAATTTACCATTAAATGACATGGCTCAATTAGCTGATAAAGTGAGAAGAGTGGAACAAATTGAGTATGAGAAACAAATGTATAAGAAATATGAGAAACCTTTG